CCCCAAAACCCCAAAACCCCAAAACCCCAAAACCCCATTTATAAAACTCTTTATTGACAATTTAGAAATAAAACTAAGCCAAGTTTTGCAGTGAAGTGGACAACAATAGAGAAGGCTAAGAGTCTGACTCTGCAGTATGTCTAATTCTTGTAGAATTTTTTTTAATAAAATTTAACAACTTGATTTCTAGGAGTTTCAAATGCCTTCATCTCTTATCTATCAGTGTTCATTCTCATTATGGTCTTATCTTACTCAATTTCAACAAGGTTCACATTAATTTCACCTTCATCCTGCCAATAATGACGATGGACTGCTCTAACTTGGTTTCTGCTATTAAGCACTTCCTTTAGTTTCTTATAACGTTCCCATTCTGTCATAACCAGGCTCTTTCAGAACTTGATCATCCCTGCCAAGCTTAAGAAAAGTAAAGCTTGAAACAGAAGAGGGAGGATTTTTCAGGGCTTTCCCGTTGGCCCGAGAACGCTGAGAATTATATCATCATATTCCACACATTCGGAAGTATCTTCCCCAATATATGTAGGCATAAAATACTGGCCTACTCTCATTCTGATACATTCAGAGTCACTCTTGAAAGCTTGTTCACCCTTGATATGAACAATTTTTGTATAAATTTTCAATGCTTTATTTGCCATACAGAAATCCTAGTTCGAGGAACCCATACTTGATTTCACTCACAAGGTTTTTGGAATGTTTTCTGAATTCATCAAAGAGGCCAACCATGATCAGTTCTGTACTTAATCAGTTGATCATTTTACAGCCAAATAGAGTATCAAGAAGCATTTCCCAGTCTTGTACCACCTCCATTATAAGTGAAAACCAATTTGTTTTGCTGAAGCCAACAAGTCTGATGAGGTCGATCAACTGAGCTAGTATTTTGTGTAAAGTCATATACCTGAGAGTAGTTGCTCTCAAGTTCAAGTCTGGGAAAGCTACAAAACTTTCAAGCGGGCCTCCAATACAGATTACTTGTGTAAAGATTAACATAAAAATGAGGACTTTCATTAGAATAGACTGCTTGTTTATTTTACAATTCTTTACAAGACTTTTGGGGTTTTGGGGTTTTGGGGTTTTGGGGTTTTGGGG